CTACAAAAGACCTGAACAGTATTAACAATCTAAGTTATATTTCTTTATACATGGGGAGGAGAGATAATTTATTGGCTACAACTATTTTGCTTGTGCTTACATTAGACGTTAGACTATGTATCTTTAGATTATCATATTCTACCTTTAATCAACTTTAGAACCAAAAAAAAAAAGAAAACACAACAGATTCCTACATGCAATAGAGGTGTCTCATGTTTCTTCTATATAGGGAGGTATATAGTGGTACCAGGAATATAATAATACAGTACATATATAACACATAACACATATGTCTTGGTAGTCATAATAAACACACAGATGTTACTGGCCTATAAATAAATAAATAAATAGATAAATATTTTTATGTTGTTTTTTAAATCATTTTATTAGGGGCTCATACAACTCTTTTCACAATCTGTGCATATATCATTTGTGTCCAGCACATTCGTACATATGTTGCCATCATCGTTCTCAAAACACTTGCTTTCTACTTAAGCCCTTGGTATCAGCTCCTCATTTTCCCCTCCCTCCCTGCTCCCCCCTCCCTCATGAATCCTTGATAATTTATAAATTATTATTATATTATCATATCTTACACCATCCGATGTCTCCCTCACCCACTGTCTGCCCCCCAGGGAGGAGGTTATATGTAGACCTTGTCATCTGTTCCCTTCTCCCTCCCCTTCCCTCCACCATCCCGATATCGCCACTCTCACCACTGATCCTGAGGGGCTCATCTGTCTTGGATTCCCTGTATTTCCAGTTCCTATCTGTGCCAGTGTACATCCTGCGGTCCAGCCGGATATGCAAGGTAGAATTAGGATCATGCTAGTGGGGAGGGGGGAGGAAGCATTTAAAAACTAGAGGAAAATTGTATATTTCATCATTGCTACACTCCATTCTGACTGGCTCGTCACCTCCCCGCAGCCCTTCTGCAAGGGGATGTCCAATTTCCCCCAGATGGGTCCTGGGTCCCCACTCTGCACTCCCCCTCATTCACAATGCTATGATTTTATATTATTTATTTATTTTTTGGTCTTTGATGCCTGATACCTGATCCCTTCGACATCTTGTCATCTCACAGGCTGGTGTGCTTCTTCCATGTGGGCTTTGTTGTTTCTCAGTTACATGGCCCCTTGTTTATCTTCCAGCCTATGGGACCCCAGATGTTATATATTTTGACAGCTGGGTACCATCAACTTTCTTCACCACATTTGCCTATGCACCCGCTTTGTCTTCAGCATTCATGCTGGTGTGTTTCTTCCATGTGGGCTTTGTGTTTCTTAGCTAGATGGCTGCCTCATTGTCTTTAAGCCTTGAAGACCCCAGATGCTATATCCTATCCCTAAAATATAATAAATAGTAATAAAATATAACCAAAGTATTTTCTTAAAATAAAACATCAAATAAGTTGTATGTAACTTTAGCAGTTTATTACCCTAATATACATTTCACGTATATTGTTGCCTATTTATGCATAACAACATTATAACCAACTTAAAAGCTTAAAACAATACAAACCTATTACTTATCACGCAGTCTCTATGGATCAAGGATCCAAACATGGGTTTGCTGTGTCTTCTGCCTCATAGTCTTGCACAAGGTTGAAATGAACGTGTGCCAACCCTGGTGTTGCCAACATCTGAGCTTCTAATGGAGAGGGGTCCAATTCTAATCTTGTATGTTTGTTTTAAAGATTCATTTATTTTGATATATTGTATGGAGGGCCATGCTTCCTTGCTGGATGTTTGTTAGTATTTCCTTCATTTCCTAAGCATTTGGACTACTCCATTAAAGTCAATAGAAGAGATTGTCAATAGAATTAGCTGGCAGAAAGGTAATTACAACCTTATGCAGTGTAATCACTGAAGGGACATGTTATTATCTTTACTCATTTGGTTAGACCTGAGTCTCAGATACCACCTCTCATTCAAGAGAAGATTTTAGAAAAATTACGAATACCATTAAATAGGATAAGTAGGTTCCACCTCAAAGACTGCAATATTTGCACATGTTCCTTCTAAAAGAGCCATTCAAGCTCGATAACTTCACAATCATCATGGTCAGCCACTGAGTAATGTGTAAAGTAGCAAAGAGTTGTAATGTAACTTGGTAATTTAAAATATTACACCAAAGTTGACCTATGCATAATCCATCAGCACCAATCTTAGTGCTTTTGCATATTTCCTCACTTTTGTGGTAGTCTACTATCATGTTAGATTCAAAATGGTAAAATCATCACCACATTGCCCCAACCCTGTGACAATACAATAAATGGCGAGGTCTTAGAATGTTTTGTTTTAGACGGGGATCGGGGCAAGTATATATTTTTCTGATCTAGGTGCTCTTATTGGGACTTTTTGATTGAAATTACAAAAATCCTAGGTAAATAAAAAAGAATAGAATATTAAGATGACATGCTTAAAATTTCAGTCAAGTACAGAAAATGATAAGATTTTTGGCTTATTTGGTATGTTATCAGGAGGACCAATCCCTCAAGAAGGACGTCATGCTGGTACTGTGCTGGCAGAGCATAGCAGTTTGTGTAAGATGTTTATAAGTGGGTCATATATCATTAATTTTTCAGGGTATAAATGCTAGATTAATATTTATCCTAGCAGGCTTCATCAAAGGTTAAAAATAAACTGTGCTATATAATAAAAAATTAAGAGTAATATTGATAAAAAGTTAAGAGTAATACCAAAAAAGTAAGTAATGAAGCACTGAAAATGCCACATGAAAGAAATGTCAATATGATTTGTTTAACTGGTCTGAGAACAGAGACTAATGCTCACGGAAACTAGGTGAGATGAACAGGGACACATAGAGGGAAAATCTAGAAAGATTATTAAGATGTTGTGTTTAATACTTTTCTAATAAGTGTTTCTAATAAGAATCTTCTAGTTCTGGTTGACATAAGCTGATAAAAATTGTAACCTGCCGGATGATCCCTCCAGGCCCAGTGGTGTGAGTGGCGATACTGGGAGGGTAGAGGGACAGTGGGTTGGAAAGGGGAAACCGATTACATGGATCTACATATAACCTCCTCCCTGGGGGACGGACAACAGAAAAGTGGGTGAAGGGAGACATTGGACAGTGGAAGATATGACAAAATAATAATTTGTAAATTATCAAGGGTTCATGAGGGAGGGGGAAGCGGAGAGGAGAGGAAAAATGAGGAGCTGATGCCAGGGGCTTGGATGGAGAGCGGATGTTTTGAGAATGATGAGGGCAATGAATGTACAAATGTGCTTTACACAATTGATGTGTGTATGGATTGTGATGGGAGTTGTGTGAGCCCCTAATAAAACGATTTTTTAAAATTGTAACATGGAAATTGTTCACTTTGTGATGATCATGTTATGATAGGCTAACAGTAGGTACCAATAGTTTGAAATAAAACATAGAATATGAGAATAAAATAGTGTTTCATTGAAAAATACTTTGTGACTTGGTTAGCACATGTATGACACACATTGTGGGAGGGTCGTGGTACAGCAGCAAAACTGGGTAGTTTTAAAGAACAGATTCTTTTCTCCCGTTCTTAATCCTGAGGCTAGAAATTTGTATTCAAGGCATCAGCAGAGCTGTGCTCTCTTCCTTCTTCTGCCTCTGTGGGGACCTCCTCCCTTTGCTCCTCCAATCTCTAGAAGCCCGAACATTTTTTTTTGGTGGTGGGGTGCTTAGGGGCATTGACTTGTAGATAGATCCTTGACTTGTAGGTGGATCCTCACCTACTTTCTTCCTTCTGTGCACCTCCTTCTTCCCTGTCTTTCTCTTGTATATGGGGCCATTTAGATATTTTTTAGTGGATAACATCTGCAGAGAAAAGCCATTATTTCCCTAAGCAAGCTCACCCTCACTGCTTCAGCATACCTTCAGCATGTGTTTTGTGCCATCAGCATACGTTTTGAAGAGTACAATGGAATATTGTCATATTAAGGGCATTACGTTGGTATAAGTAGGGGGGAAAAGTAATTGTTTAAAAAGATAAATGTTACAAAAAATTATCTGTTCAAATATTTTTTGGTACAGTCAGAACTTTACCACTGGGCCAAAATAAGAACTAGAAAGGGACACATGGGCTCTCTGCTTTAAAGTATTAAAAACAAAACAGGAGCAACATTTTATTTTAACAAGTTTAGGTAACTAATGGTATACATCTATTGCTTTCAGTCTAGATGGTGTTGCAGAGACAAGTGAAAAGAATTGTGTACAATATTTGGCAGATTATAGAGTAACAGTATGCTTCATCTTAAATTTAGAATAATGTTGCTAGTGAGACACACTTAGCTAAGAACATTTGCATAATTATGAACCTACTTTGTTGGAACTGGTGCATTAAATGGGTATGTTAATGTGTATATATGATATTTGCATACATATGAATTTGAGGTGGAACCATATGGCTTATTGTTTAAGAACAATTAGTTCTTACAATGTGGCCCCTGTACGATGAGGGCCACTTCCTCATGAGATGATCCTTGAGGATTTGAGTGCTACAGCACATCGTGGTGAAAGGAGTGAGAGGGTGCCCAGCTATCAGAAGGAAAGATAGCTTCTGGGGTCTTTACGACTTACCCTAGCCCAAGCAGCCATCTAAGGAAGCTGTCAACCAGTTTATGAAAAAGAAATATCTACTCAAGTGTGATCAAAGGATTTTCAATAAAGTCCATGACAGTGTAAGGAGTTTAAATTAGAATTTAAATTCGGATCACTTGGCATGTTGACAGCTATGGTTTACAGAGGGATCCCTAAATCCATTTTAAGTCTTCACATAAATTCAAATTCCACTGAAATCTTCTTGAATGTTCAAAGTTTTTTTCCTCAGGCAGATTATGTTTGAAAGAGTACTTCTGATACCCGCCTGGCCAGCGAAGAACCAGCCAGACCATGAACCTTGATGGAAACGGGGGTGGGGGGAAGGGGTATGGTTAACTCAAAATGCAATCATGGGAAAATGGACCATAAGAAATAAATGTTCTTCTCTAAATCTACAGACCTCCTCCCGTCAGTGAACTTGCAACGAGAGGGACCGTGGTTGGTGTCATTGCTGCTGCCGCCATCAATCAGAGCATTGTATACGCCATCGTTTCAGGAAATGAAGAGGGTGAGATCTCTCAGTCTATGAATTCACTATATATGTTCTTAACGAATTTTAGGGTGAATTAGCATATATATCCCACTTCTCTAATAAAATTGTGTCCTGGTATGCAATAGAGAACACTGGTGGTATATACCGCTTATGTGTTTCCTTGCTAACTACAAGGCCAGCAATTCAGAATGAGCGGCAAGCCTGTCGAGTCTCAGAAAACACGCCGGGTCAGCTCTACCCTGTCTTATAGGGTTGCTATGTGTTGGAATGAGCTTGTTGGAAGTGAGCTTGGTTTGGTTGCTTTAGATGTCATAATAACAATATATCCTTAATCAGATGGAAAGCTGGGCTGTTAATAGATTTTTTCCCCCTCCTATAAGAAAAGCCTACATTTTTTTACCTCTAGAAATAGTCCCCTTGTCAAAAAGATTCTGATGATGGCTATAATAATGGAAGACTGGCAAGATCTGACCTACTCTGCCTCTGTAGCAAGAACGGAAGATCTTATTTTCTTTTTTACCTTTTCCGCATTTTCACTTGTGCTGCTAGGTCTTCCCCTCAATATATTACTAACATTGTTTTCCCTGTACTTCCAACATCTAAAAACAATGATTTCCCTAGCCAGGGTCTTACACTCTGTGATTCTATTTGTTCTTTGCCTTGAAGAAAGCAAAAATGGCTATGCTTGTCCATCTCTTTTCCACTCTCTGCCTATTTTATATTTGATCTATTGATTTATTCATTTATTCAATCATTCATCAGTCATCTACTCTTTTATCTACTATAAAAATGTATACACCAGGGAACAAAACAGATCCGTCTTTGCCCTAGGAAACATGTAAGGAACAATCTAACTTCATTCTTCCTACACAATCTTTGTTTGTGTAGTAGTTCTGACACAATTATTAAGTTACATCTTTGAAAAAACTATTTTCAGTGTCTCAGTGTAAATTGTAAATTGCATGTGCTCATTAATGGCAATCTTGAAGACTCCATGAGAGGAAATGTGTCAAAAAGAAGGGAAGCGCACCTCATTCCATTAGCCACTGTGTTTCTTCCTGAAGGTGCCAGCCACAGAGGCTTTTGTAGGGAATGCTGGCTACAGACGTCTGGAGTGAATACAAAGAGATTGGTGAAGCTAGCCCTTCTAGTCAAATTATATACTAGATATTTTCAAAGGGGGATTTTATATTTTTGTTGTTTTCATTATGAGTTATCAGAAAATAGAGATAACTACAAGGCAAAATGAAAGTAAAAAAAAAATGCATGGAAAGAGGTACTTCGTGATCCGAACCTAAAACCAAATCCTCTGCCTTCAAGTTGATTCCAACCTATAACAACTTGATATAGGGTGCAAGAGGCTATGCATTTTTAAGGGAGTATGCAGTGCCAAGTTTATTCCAAGGAGCACTACTGAGTTTGAATTTCCCAGTCCATATTTGATAGCACCAGACCGAAATTTTGGGTGAACTTTAAAATGGGAGAGCAGAAATGAGACTCCTGAATTAAGTCAATGATATGAACCAGCTACAATAACTCCAGGTTAATATTTCCAGTTTTCAAATGAAGCAAACAGGAATTCTTCCCCTATTACACTCTAGAGTTTCATAGCTTATCTGTAAATAGATAAATATTATAATTAAGATTTAGTGAATTAATATGGTCCTTCTAACCATAATTCCTTACGTGATGTATTTTAATTCTGGACTATAAATCAGTGGCAGTGATCCCATTTTGGAAGGACTTCTCTGGATTTAGGTGGAGCTAAATCCTGGCTATAATAAAGTGTGTGAACCAAGCCACGCCCTTTGCATTCTGGGAGCATCTTGAAACTGCCAGAGAGTGTGACATCCTCCTTCATTATCCCGGAGGGTATGGTCTGCTCAAAGACAGCCACACTCCCATCTAAGCCACTCCTCGGTGAATAGAGCCCTCTGGGACATAGAGAACCTACCTCTGGGAACCCAACAACAGATAGACCGATAAAGCAAATAATAACACCAGGGAGGGCTGTAATGCATTCTCAAAAACCAAACTCACTGCCATCAAGCCCATGCATCTCATAGAGATCTTAGAGGACCAAGTAAAGCTGTGCTTCTCAGCCCGAGGAGTAGCTGGTGGTTTTGTTGCTGATCTTGCATTTAGCAGCGCACTGCCCGTCCACTATGCCACCAGGGCCCTCCGTAATCCATTCATGTCATCAATTACATGAGACCAAAAGGTAGCTTTTCCGAAAATAATCATAATAAAGTTTAGAAGACATAAAGGGCCAGGAAAAAAGAATGCATAAAAACAGACAACATGAAGAGGAAGTGGAGAAATGTTACACTGAGGATATTACAACAAATGTCATGGAATGAAATGTATCATAATTGTTGAACAGACAACTAATTTGCATTGTAAAAAAATAAAGAAGAAGAAAGGCAATAGGCAGTCCTTAAAACAGAAGAAGGGAAAACTCCATGATTTATAATCAACACATATCTGTAAGCCAAGGATAATAAAACCACTAGCATGTTAAGACGTGCATTTGGACAAACCCTGACATTGATCATTTCTGTAACTAGCATGTCATTTCCAAAGACTAGCTAGCATATGGTCAGTCTTATGCATTGTATTTATTATAAATCGGTGTTTTTAGTCTGTTATCCCCCCTTTTTTAATAACAGAGCTTTTGGAAAATGATTCTTTTTGCTTATAGTACTAGTGAAATGACCAAAGGCATTGTATTTTAAACTCTAGGTATGTTTGGAATCAATAACGTCACAGGAGTCATTTACGTAAATGCACCTCTGGACTACGAGACAAGGACAAGCTACGTCCTTCGAGTTCAAGCTGATTCCCTGGAAGTGGTCCTGGCCAACCTCCGAGTTCCTTCAAAAAGTAAGCCAAATTAATTAAGGTTTTGTTTGTTTGTGCGTTTTAAAAAAAGGATGGTCTTTCTATTTATTTTTAAATACAGAGCTATGTGTAAATAAAGTTCTCTTTAAGAGATAGGCGGATCGTTGACACTCAGAAAAGAGTGCTCATTCATTTTGGCAGCCGATAGATGAGAATGCAGACAGTGATATAATAAGGAGCAGTATCAAAGCAATAACACACACATTTTAAACTTTGTATGCAGTAGCATTGTGATGCCATCATTATGTGTGACTGTGAAATCATAAATTTGACCCAATCTCGTTGCAAGCGTCTGGAGAACCCTCTGGAATGTATATGAGAGCAATCAAAAACTATTGCTGCAAAATCTTGTTATTCTTAGGTTCCAACTCATACTGAAATGTTTACTAAACACGAATGTCAAAATGTAAAGCTCTCCATCTAAGTCTGCATACTTCTGAAGACGATGTTTCTATCTCTATATCCCTTCCTCAAAGAAGTCAGTGCTTTTAGGTTCACACAGTAACAAAATGACAGGAATTGCACCCTCGAAAACCTCAAATCATATGCCTTTCCAATTTTTTAAGTTTTAGAACAAAAAGAAGTCTAAAGGTATACGATCGAGACACTCAGGTGGGTGGGGAATGGTTTTCCAGCATCATTTTCACAGGGCAGTCTTGACCATCTTTAAAGAATGAGTCGGTGTATGGTCAAGATGGGGGGAAAAATAGCCATGGTGCAAATCTGTGGGCATTTTCTTATCAATGTTGCTTTCAATTTTATTTATTGATTTTTTTTAACTGTGCGGAGTTACTACATATATTATATAGTCCCATGGTTCAATTACACCAAGCAGTATAGCAGTATTGTATAATTGCTACCACAATCAGCTTTTGAACACAGAATTCCTTCCGGGGCTCCTTCATATGGCCCCATAATCATCCTGTGTCCTTTAAGAAAATCTAACAAAATTATCATTTTGGAATCCCCCCAAACAGGCACTATAACCTTCTGAGTTGATCATGTTACCTGGCCCAACAGGTCCTCTCAGAATCCCTTGTTCTAAACGAACATTTTTTTTTTTAAGGGTACCCTACCAAAACAGACAAATCTATCACTGAGCGAACTGGTTTGCAGCTATCCACTGATCACTGAGACAAGCTTAAACATGCTTTGTTGGGAATAAGCAGTGCACATACTGACCAGAGCATTAGAAATGAGGCTGACAGTTTTCACTTACCCTTTGATTGTTAGTGAATCCATTCCTGCTAGTCATTTCTGGATTTTGTGGTTTCTTGTACTGATTTTCCTTTTTTAAGTGAGATGAAAAAAACGTTTTAAATTGGTGATTGACATTCTTATGATTATATAAAAATTAACTCATGTATTTCTGTGAGATGAAAATAATTACCCTATTTAACACAGTAAAAAATGTTTTAAAATGCTTTCATTTTTAATAACACATTCAGTAAATGACAATTTGGGGTTTTTAGCCCATGTCTGTTCAATACTAAAATATTTTTTGATATTTCAGAGGCATCTCATTTAGCACACAGAGATGGAAGCGAGAGCCTAGTACTGAATGGGGCGAGCCCAGAATGTGAGCGACACTAGCAATGGTGGCGTTCGTAGCACTCCCTTTGATTGATTGAGTAAATATTGGTTTTGCACATAAGCCATCCATCTTTTTCTAATTGTAAGTCATTAAAGAGTACAGAATTCCCCAGTAAAGCACATTTGATTTGAATTGTAGTAGAATCAAGTCCCAGGTGGCATATGAAATGGGGAAAGGATCTGGAACATCATCCCCCTTTTACAATGAGAATGTTAAATTTATCAGATCCTGCAGAAGGGGGAGGGGAATGGACCAAAAGAAGAGAAAGCTTGCATACCACGAGAAGGAGCCACGTAGTGGGACAGGGGAACAAGACGAGAGCAAAGGGCAGAGGGTGCATTGTGGCTGTTTGTTCTTTGTTCGTGTTACCAGCTTTTCAATTGATGTTCATAGATACACATACCTTTTCCCCCAATGATTCTAAATCGCATGTAATGGTCTAGTGTAGAGAACTTCACCGTTTTACATAGGTACCCATGAACTAATTTGAAAACTCAAATTGTTCAAAATATATTCTTTAATTAAGTCCATTAAATTATACTCTGTTTCCCATCACTTTCATAGTTAAATTTGTTTTTTATTTAATCGTCAAATTGGAGAAAATTGTATTTTTATAAAATTATGTAGGTGCTGAAAGGGTAGAATCACTTTAAATTATATAATGCCATCACTGGAATTACAAATAAACTGGAGAGAATAATTGAAAACTGTATTTGCCACCATTACTTGAAAAAAATGGGCAGTTAACTTTAGAATGAAAAACTGGTTAAGTATTCAGGTAGCACAGCCAGCATTTGAACTCTCACTGGTGAATATTTTGAAAAGCTTTATCACAAATAAATGAACCTAGCTCTCATTAATGTATGTTAAATTACTATAATCTAAGACTAATAAAAGTTTAGCTAATTCAGAGGTGTATACTTGTATGTGCCCTCGTTTGCGTGTAGAGGTGAGAACAATTAACATATTCATGAATTATCTTCTCAGAAATGCAAAAAGCCTAGAAGTTAAATGTTAGTTTGTTCAATGTCTGATGCTTTAAACACTGTTGTCAGCATTTCATTAATGATCTTTGCTTCTGGAAACAAAACCCATGTGTTTCAAACAGTACCACCTTTTAAAGACTATTAGTCCTCAATATATTAGTTGTAAAAATAAAAAGGCCATTATGTAAATTGAGGTTAATTAATTAATCGTCCAATCTTGCTTCAGAATAAGTGGCCCTATGGTCTTTAGCTCTACCATATATCATATAAATAAAGGTAATAAAAGTTTAATTCATAAAATAATGTTTCTCATTGGGATTTCTTTATCAAGACTTTGTTAATGAAATCCTTTCCAATGAAAGTTGTTTAGCTATTTTATAACTAGATTAAATATATATATTTTTTTAATCAATTTATTGGGGCTCATACAATTCGTCACAATACATAGATCAATTGTGTAAAGCACATCTATACATTTGTTGCCCTCATCATCTAGATTAAATATTAAATGCAAATTAACAATGAAAAGAAAGAAATGTTCTAAACTTCATTTCATTAATTTGACACTAGGAATACTTAAAACTATATTAACCTTTAAGTAGGGACTACTTCAAGCACACAGACTTCCAGAGAATATTGCAAAGAACACTTGTGTATCAATTACCCAATTGCAACATTAACAACTCCTAGAAATCTTGTTTTGCTCTCACTTACTCCTAAATCTATTATTATTGACAAAATTGGGAGGGGGATTCAAACACATAAATATTTTACTGTGCATAAAGGGAAGGACGCCGGTGAACACCGGCTTTGGTGTGGCTGCCATGCAGTCAACTCTGACTCGGGTTAACTGACCTGCAGGCTGTTTGGGAACTGCTCCATAGTTTTCCAGATAGGATTATTTTAGAAGCAGGACCCATATTCTGTCTCTTGAGACACCTTAAAGCGGATTTGAGCAACCAACCTAACTATTTGCACTATTCATACACTACAGTATTGACAATGAATATAAAAATATTCCAGTAAGTCAGAAACAATATATTTTCTTTTTTCCCTGATCCAATAAATTCAAGAATCAGCAAGTAATGATCACAAATTCAGGGCATGCAGAAATTTGTTTTCCTTGGGATCTGTGTATCCATTGTGTTGACATTAGGTATGGAGTATCTATAATATACCAGGTCCTGTGATAGTATTTCAGGACACCAAGGTAAAGAAGCAAAGTTCCTTCCTTCAAGAAGCCCGCGGTTCATTCGAGAACTGTTCTCCCCTGACAACATGTCCACAGTACATGAGCCATCTCGCCATCCTTGAGTCTAAAGAACCTGCTGCCTCTACTTTTTCCGATGCAGACTTGTTTGTTCTTTTTGTTCATCCATGGTACTTTTAATGTTCTTTTTGAGCACCATAATTCAAATGCATCAATTTCTCTTCCTCCTCCATTTTTCTCCTCTTCCCTCCTGCCTCCTCCTCCTCCTTCTCCACTTCCCTCTCCTTCCTTCTGCACTCAATAACAATGTTCACATGTATGTGAGGTCATTGAAAATTGCTTAGGTCAGGTGCACCTTAGTCCTCAATATAACATCCTGACTTTTCAACACTAACGATGTCTTGTGAAGCAGATTTACTCAATGCAATGCACCCTTTGATATATCAGCCGCTGTTTCCACAAGCATTTGGTGTGGAGCCAAGCAAGAAGAAACCCTTAGCGACTTCAAGCTTTGCTCCATTTATCATTATGTTAACTATTGGTGCAGGTATGAGGATTTTGGTTTTCTTCATATTAAATTGTAATCCATATTGAAGGCTGTAGTCCTTAATCTCCATCAGGTGCTCCTCACCTTCAGCAAGCAAAGCTTCATATAACCCAGCTTCGATGATTATTTGTGCAGCATACAGAGTGCATAAGTATGGTAAGAGGATACAACCCGGATGCACACTTTTCTTGATTTTAAACCTTGCAGTATTTATTCCCTTGTTCTATTTGCAAAATATCATTTGATCCAAGTACGGGTTTTGCATTAGCACAATTAAGTGTTCTGGAAATTCCATTCTTTTCAAGGTTATCCATAGTTTGTTATATTCCATGCAGTTGAATGCCTTTGCACAAGCAACAAAACACAAGTAAGAATCTTTTTTATTATGCTCTGCTTTCAGCCAAGAACCATATGACATCAGTGATGATATCACTTGTTCCATGTCTTCTTCTGAATCCTTTTTGAATTTATGGTGGCTTCCTATCAATGTACTGTTGAAACAATAGTATGATCTTGAGCAAAATTTTACTTATATCGATACTATTGTTCTAGAATTTGAGCTTTTTATGGCTTAACTTTCTGTGGAATGGGTCCAAGTATGGATCTCTTACAGTCTATTGGTCAAGTAGTTTATCTTCCAAATTT